TGGTCCCATGTTAGGAGGAAATGGCACACCTCGGGCCTGGATACAAATGGTGATTTGGTGTAAAACGGCGTCATAATGTTATTATCCTATTCTTATTATATCATTATTTGGTTTGGTGGCCTATCTCTGCTATTTGCAGATGATGTAGTCCTGTTGGCATCATCGTGCCAGTGTCAGTTCCCAGCATTTGGAGCCAAGTGTGAAGCGACTGAGATAAGAATAAGCACCTCCAAATCTGAGGCCATGGTCCTCAGTCAGAAAAGGGTAGTTTGCTCTGTTCAGGTCAGCAGTAAGGTGCCGTCTCAACAGAAGGAGTTAAACTATCTCAGGATTTTGTTTTCAACTGAGGGAAAAATCAAGTGTGAGATTGACTGACGGATTGGTGCAGAGTCTGCAATATTGCAGACTCTGTGCCATTCCAGTGTGGTGAGGAAGGAGCTGATCTGCAATACAAAGCTCTCTTTTTATTGGTCAGTTTACTATCCTACACTTACTTACCTGCTGTCACAAACTTTAGGCAGTGGACAAAAGAATGAGATCACAAATAGAAGCAGTCAAAATGAACGTTCTCGACATGGTGGCTGCACTCTCCCTAGTGATACAGTCAGAAGTTCAGCTATCTGGGTGAGACTTGGAGTAAAGCCCCTGCTCCTCCACGTCAAAAGGAGCCAGTTGAGGTGGTTTGGGCATCTGGTAAGGATGCCCATGGGACACCTCTGTAGGGAACTGGAAGGAGACCCTGGGGAAGACCCAGGACAGGCTGGAAGGACTATCTCTTACGGCTGGCTTAGGATTAACTTGGAATACTCTCAGAAGAGCTTGAAGAGGTGGTTGGGAAAAAAGATGTCTAGGCCTCTTTGCTCAAGCTACCGTCCCCCAATCCAACTCTGGAACAAGCAGAGGAGAGAGGGAAGAAAGGAAGAAGGGATGGATGGATGGATGGATTCCAGAACACAAAGAGCATTGGACCTAGTCTATAGGCTTTGCCACATGTGTACATGATGACCATTGGTAGTAAAGCAGAACAGAAGATTTATCATTGTTACCACACAATGGATGCCATTTGTCACCAGTCCATGTCTCTTGGTTGTGGTATCACTCAGCTTGCTGTCATTCCTCCTCTGGTGTTTTAGGTAACTAAATAAACTTGTGGGCAGCATGGTGGTGCAATTGGTAGAGCTGCTGACTTTCAGCAAGCAGGTTACCCTGGTTCAAATCCCAGTCTGGGGACCTTTCTGGATGGAGTTTGCATGTTCTCTCCATGCATGCGTGGGTTTTCTCCAGGCATTCCAGTTTCTTCCCACAGACCAAAAGTATGCATGTTAGGCTGACTGGTATCTCTGAATTGTCCCTAGGTGTGAGTGAGAGAGTGAATGGTTGTTTGTCTCAAAAAAAGGTTAAAGCATTTCATCTGGACCAGTTTATTTAAGGGAGAAACGTTTCGTCTTCCATCCAGAAGACTTCATCAGTCTGTAGCCTGCCAAAGTCACTGTGACATCTGTACACTCCACATACTAAGCATTTGCACTCTATGATAACCTGACCTGATGCAATACACACTGTGCTCCCTATCAAGCACCATCAAGTTCGGTTAAGGTTTTCTAAAGTATTTACCAGACACCCCTGAGTATGGTGGCTTTCATTCAGTCTTTTGACTGACTGTGGAAGCCTTCAGCAACAAACTCCTCTTACGGTGGTAGTACTTATGCCCTCTAGTGACTGTTTCTAGACATAGCCAGTTCTTTGCTAATTGAATTATTTGCATACGCATCACAGCAACAAAGTTCATGCACAATCATCCAGGTATCCAATCCAATAATTCACAGTACGGACCTGTACCAAATTTAATAAAAGTAGACCCTTATTTCTGTGAATTATTCTATCCTTTTCAGTAAATGTGTAGCAAATGAAGCTGATTTTGTGTGTTTTGCTCCTGTGTTGTAGTTTTCAATACATGGCACACTTGTGCCTTATGATAAACGTGTTTTTTTTAACCATCTCTACAGACACTACCGATTCTTATGAGGACATAAAAGTGACCAGCGATGTCTTCAGTATGTTTAATCTGATTGGATGTCCACTGCTGCTATCCTGTATGTGTATCGAGCGCTACCTGGCAGCCGCAAAACCCATGGTATACCTGAAGGTGAAGCGGTGGGAGTATCGTATTGCTGTTTCTGCAGTGATGTGGCTCATTACTTTGTCTTTTTGTCTGGCAACTGGTAAGTGCCAATCTACATTTAATCTAAAACCATAGGTTGATATTTTTAGGGTGCAAACCGGTCTTCTATGATAAAAAAAAAATGTTTTGACTTCAGTATTGTGTTTTTGAAAGCTAAGAAGCAAGATAAAACTAAAAGGTTATGAAATATAACCTTTAAAGTGTTGTAACACGGTAAATAAATATTCACCAAAGAAAGCCTCGTTTCTACTTCAACTGCGGCTTTCAAAAAAAATAGTTAATTGAATACACCAAAGAAACTCAACTTGAGGATAAAATCAGTTTGAAAAACTGATAAAATATGAACAACTGTTGTCAAAATCAATATTCATGTGCATTTTACAGGTTTAAAGCAAGACATGGTTAAGATGATGGTGTTTGTTTCTGTGATCATCTCCTGCCTCTTCCTTCTGATGCTCGTCTGCCTCGGCGGTGTGGTCAGGTCACTCTGGCAGCAAAGTCCTGCTCTCATAACAATTGGAAACCAACCACGAAATACATCACCCATGAAGAGACGGGCCGTGGGTAATGTGTTGGCTGTGGTGGTACCTGCCGTGATGTCTTACCTCCCTGTCCTAGTGTTGTTTCCTTTGGTCTTGTACACATTATACAGCAATAATACAATGGATAATGTCACATGTACTGCCTTTGAATTATCCAGGTTATTTCCTGAGTTTGGTCTCCTCATCGGTCCTCTGTTTTACCTTTCCAAGGCAAAACAAATGAGCTGTCTTTCTGGAGCAAAACAGAAATAGTGCAACAAAATATAATAAAACCAGAGCACACAAAATGTTTCGTCCTTTAGAAGTGCCAGTGTATTTCATTTTTTACTTCCTCTGGGCAAACTGTAATATAAAACTTTCCTAATGATGCTATTGTAGAACACAGAATAATTATAGTATGTAGTTTTTGTGTGTTTTTACTTCACATGAGCTACTCTCTCTGGATCAGGAGTCTTGTATTACGACCCTGGACTCCTTGGCCCTGTTAAAACCCTGAACTCACACCTCAGACCTGGTTAAATGATAGCACCCGAGCACCCAGACAATGGTGCAGGAAAGCAGAGCAAAAGTGGAAAAAACACAAACTACAGGTTTTTATTAATATACTAAGAAATCTTGGAAGTTTTATCAGACCACTGGAAAAAAATAAGAAAAATTATAATTATCTCAAATATTTGCTTCGACTATTGTAATTATGTTTTTATTTTTTTTATTTTTTTTTTTATGAATATCAACTCGATTCTGAATGGGCAATTCTGGAGTTCCTCAGGGCTTGATTCTCGGACCTCTACCTGCTCACTTTAGGGTCTAGTCTGAGAAAACATGGCATCTCCTTCCATTGCTGTGGAGATGACTGGGAGATTTACCTGTCCCTAAAGCCAAATAATTCTTGCTCCATCCAGCTACTACTAAAATGTCTTGACAATATCAAGGCATGGATTGCTCTTGAGCTTTTTAAGTTTTAACATTTTACTTGTTCTATCCTCGCTCCAATGGCTCCATATGTGTCACACAATTTATAAAAAAAAAGTTTATGTTGACATATAAATGCCTAAATGTTCTTGCCTCCTCATATGTCTCTGACTTGTTTCAGCCTTAAGTTCCTGTGTGGCTTTGAGATCATCTGATCATATGCTGTCAGTGGTACAGAAAACTAGACTCAATTTCAGAGATCTTTTTTATGGCATAGCTCCCAAATTATGGAACAATTTGCTTTCTAATATTAGACTTACTTTTTGTATTTAAATCCTTTTAAATAAACTAATTTGTTCACCCAGTGAATTTAGTTTTTTGAATATACAATGTTTGCTGTGTATTGAAATGAGGATTTCAAAAAATCAACTGGTTATCATTGCTTTTGTAAGTTTATGAATGTAAAGATCAAACAAATATAGTTTCTACAAATGTAAAAGAGCAATGCTATTCTTTGTTGACCTGATGTGAAATAAAACAACAATATTCTTCTCTTACCAGAAAAAGGTCAATAGTTTTTGATGCTTCATCTGTATGGGCTTAAACTTGCTCAGGATTGCAGGGGACTGATGTCTATTTCCAGCAGCCGACAAGTAATAGGCAGAGTACACTCTGGACAGGTTGTCAGTTCAGCACAGGACCAAAACTGACAACAAAACACAACCACACTCGCACGTAAAAGTCAGTTTCGAATTGTTCATCAATTTACCATGCTCTATTTATTTATTTATTTTGACTGGGAGAGGAATTTCCTGAGAAACCTCAAAGAACATCCATGGATCCACAAGAAGACACTGAAAGGCCCGAGCCAAGATTGGAACCCACCACCTTCTCGCTGTAAGGCAACAACCATAAACACTCTGCTCTATATTTTTAATTTAGTGCTTTTCTGTATTTACCAACCCACTGTTTTTTGTGTTTATGACAGCTAAATTGACCAAGCTATGGACAAAATTTCAGACAAAATATTTTTATATATAATTTTTTTTACTTTTGCTTGCAATTAATTGTAACGAGGGTCTTTAAAACGTACAAATAAAACAGAGAATCATGACAATCATGGCGGTGTACCAAAGAACATACAAATGTCAAAAGGTTTGACGTTTTTCTAGCAGCACTGCAGACGACAGGAGTCTGGTTCTTCTTTGTCCCTTTGTCACTGATGGCGGCAGGGTTACTGTGCTGTCTTTTTGTGAAAAGTCACGACTTTGGTGCCCCTTTGAGATGTTAAGGTGTCAATGAGGGAGACACTTTCTCACCAGTGGGTCAAGAAGTACTTGAACTTCCTTTTTCTTCAAGCAAGAACCAAAAGACCATTAATCACAGCTGCAACATAGCGTTCTTCTCAGCCGTCTTCAAGTAAGACATGTTGCAGCTTTTGGTACAAATCCAGTAGCTTCACATGTGCAAGGCCCGATAGGTCTTCAGCTGATAAATATCTCAGTAAATGGCAAGAAACGGCACAAGAGAGTTTGAGAGGGGATGAACTCCCTCTAGAAAGGCCAGTGTAAATCCTCAAAGTCTGCAGATTGAGCCATGCTTACATCTGTGTCCAGCAACCTCCAGATGACCTCCATAGCCGCCTCATCGCTGCTAAAACTGCTCAGCCCTGGAACAACCATGCTCTCTAAGCCCAGCTGGGATGACTCACCTGGATGAAATCAAACAGAGTATCTCAAGGTTTACAAGTTAAAAAAAAATATATATATATATATGGAGTACTGCCATGTGACAACTCATCTTTAAAGGATACCACAAAAATTAAGTGGAAGTGAGTTTTCTAAGATGCAGAGCGCACGTTACCTGGATCCTCAGACATGGCACCGCTAGCAACAGCTGCTGTCTTCGAGTCAGCCTGGGACTCTGAGGAGCTGCCTGCTTCCTCTTCTCGACTGGAAGTCTGGAAGAAGGAGATAAACATCAACCTTCAAAGAGCCCATGTTTCCATGATTTAAACAAACCAACCAATGAGTGGGTGTGATGCGTTTGGTAACTGTCAATGCATTTTATTAGGTCACTTACACTCCTGCTGTTCTGTAGACATTTCTCCTGGGCCGAGCTAAATGGACTTGGGGCTCCACTTGAAGGAGATGAGTTTGCCCTTTTGTGAAACATGATATAAAAAGAAATTTTTGAAAACTAGGTTTGCTAAAAATTACATTGTAATAAAATGCTAGCTGGCTGCAACGAGAAGTTAACCCATAATAACACTTGGGCCAAAGACTTCTGCTTGGATTGCAGCACAGTCCAAGAAAGGTGAATTCAGACAGTTTGTATGTTATTTTGTAGAATAAAGAGGAAAACATTAGCTGCAGTGAGACTGACAATATAATCTATAAACTAGGCTAGGCTAATGGCAAGTCCACTCTCAACACTGACAAACCAGTGTGAGAGAACATTACTTTAGCTAATATTAAACCCAGGCACAGCCAGGGGCCAGATTAACACTTCGCTGTACCCTGGGCAACAATCTTCAAAGGCCCCATCATCATGACCCCAGAATCACCATAATCTGGCAAAATACAGAATAAGTTACCACAATATACAGTAAATATACTTAAAATTCTAACTATCAAGTGTATTTTTATGTACAAAACTCCGAATGCTCATTGACACAAATCATCAAGACTGAATTAAGTTGAACGCACTTTGAACACCACATGACACCATATGTGTACTTGTTTAGTAACGTGCTGGACACTGGTGTCAGAAGCATTTATAATGTGTGGGGGTGGGGGGGTGAGACATACTGATGGGGTGGGGGGACACACTGGTGGGAGGGTCTGGGGGTCCTCCCCAGAAAATTTTGAATAAAGTAGATGCCATTTCCTGCATTCTGGTATATTTTAATGGTTGATTAACATCTAGTTTTACCTACACAAGTAACACTGGGAACACCTTGGGATTCCCCTGGAGGAGCTGGTCCAAGTGTCTGAGGAGAGGGAAGTCTGGGCCTCCATACTTAGGCTGGTACCACCACGGATGGATGGAAGTAAACACTTGATTCAGTAAATATTTTAGAGCTAATGGTACAACAAGAAGTAGCCTGACCAACAGCTGATTCAATAATTAAAAATATTATCTATTCAAAGGTGACGATTTGATGCCCACATTAAAATTAAATCACTGTAACTTAGTTGACTTCAAATGAAATAATATCATCAATGAATGTTTACGACAAAGGATTTACTGATTATAACAAAGATTATTTTAAGAAACCTCCCAGTATAAATCATAAAACCATAATGATTTCTGCTCATTCTAAATTTGTCAAATGACCTAAATCTCCTAAAGTGAATGAGAATCATTTTAAAATAATAAATAAGATATATTTTGTACCCATGTTTCTGCAAAGATTTAAATTTGATGTTGATTTGTTGCCCTTTGTAAATCACAAGATGAATCCCTCGAGCAATTTTTTTAAATGTCAGTACAAAGTGTTTGGTCAGACATCAGAAACTGGATTAATCTCAAACTTAACATTCCTTCTTTTCATGCTGATGACATTTTACTTTATGTGGATAATTGAAGCTCAGCTTTCTCTGATGTCATAAATATAGTTGTACTTATGGCAAAGTACCACATTCACTGTAGTAAGAGGAGACATAATAATCCCTCCTTCCTGTTTAATGAACGATTTTAAGTCGTACTATTCTTCATGAAGTAGATTAAAAATCTGCAAAACTGCTAAAAAATCATCTCACAACAGATTCAAACTTATTGTTTTAATTAAAACAATGTTTCTCAAGAAAAAAAACCTGATGAGCTTGTCAGCAGGTAAGGGGCGTTTACCTTCGGGACAAATTGAGGTTGTCGATTGGTCAGTTACTGACACGCCTTCTGAGTTGATTGACAGGTTGCGCCGTCGAGGATCCGATTGAAAAAAAAAAAAACCGAGAGCTGCAGCAGCCGCGCTGGGAGGAGGCGGGGCTGCACAAATGTAGTAGAAGTGCAGCAGAGCTCCAAATATAACGGGAGATAACCAGATATTTTGCTTGTGCCCTCACTTCCCTGGGCCCCTTAGAGATCGTGGGCCCCTGGGCAGTTGCCCATATGGTTAATCCGGCCTTGGGCGCAGCTGGTCTGTAATGGCAGGTGGGGCATTCATTTGCCCCACAAAATAGTTCCTCCTAATAAAAATAAATTACTTATTTTCAGATCTGGCATGGGGGGTACAGGTCACCGACCCACGTTCGTCAAGGGGATTTATCAGATCTCACCCTGTCGGCAGAGATTGGAACAGGCAGGTTTTAGCTCGTTGATACGACCGACACGAGACCTGACGCGAGTTCATCAAATGCAGGAATAGCTGAGGTGAAACCTGCTGTGGTCAACAGTGGAGATATTCTGTTTAAATCCATACTGGGATAGACAGAGGGGACCCGAACAGAACACAGAAAACTGAGGACGTCAGAAAAAATACGTAAAAAAAACGTGACATTTTTGCCAACGTTAGGATTTTAGTTAACCATCTCTGTGGCAGTTAAATGTGTGTGACTGTGGTAGGTCAGAGGTTAAATCTGTAGTTTTGCACTCGTGTCTGTGGGTTTGAACCTAGTTTAGATTTTTAATTAACATGAGTGACAATGTGCACCACCTTTGTTCTTCTTTCTGCTGCTCCCTTCTTCAGGGGTCGCCACCGCGAACTAACTTGTACGAAGACTTGACTATTGTTTTTACGCCCGGATGCCCTTCGTGATGCAACCACAGACCACTGAGCTACCACAGCCCTCTGTGTGGAGCAGAGAGCTGCCATCTAGGGTGGGGTTAAGGGCCTTGCTCAAGGGCCCAGAGTGGGGCAAATGAGGGAGGAGGCAGGTGTGGGTGTTTCACATTCTCCACCCACATTTTGACGTTGTAGGTCCAGGCAGTCGAACCAGCGACCTTCCGATCACAGGTCCACCTTCGCTAGCCTCTGTGCCACCACTCCCCCTACATCATCCAAATTAATACACTAGGATTAGAGATTAATACACCAGGAAGAATTAGTACTTCAAATCAAGAAATTCAATCCAGAAAGCTGTGTACCTGTCCATTTCATGTTACCCAGGTAGAATTAAAAATATTGCCATGGAGGTGGGTGCGAAAGGCGTCCATTTCTCTGATTTAAGTATTAGACCAGATTGTTTTTATGAGACACAAATTTGACGCAGAGCAGGAAAAAAAAAGTAACATTTGTGATGTTAGTGCTTCAGGAAATGAATGTCCACTAATAGACGCTCAGGAGCCGCTACTGATTAAACCTCTACACTGTCACATGACCTCTTTAGTTGAGTTTTCTCAACTGAAAAGTATCCCTTACTATATGTGAACGCATGTGTAAACAGACGGTACGTCAGTGGTCTCAAGGCTGTTGAGTGCATCAGTCTGCAGGGAGTTGAGTCAATTTCTGAACTGGCTGGACGAGCTGATTCAACATGTCCAGTCTTTCTTTATCTAGAAAAATATCCTCTCTCTTTTGAAGACAAGATTCTGTTTGCTGATGATTTCAATGGGATGTACCTGTAAGAGTCGATGAGCTCGTTGGCGATTTGGGTCCCGATGCTGCCTGCGTAGATCATTGTGCCCGCACCAGTGGACAGGCCTGGGATTTCTGGGATTTGCTTTGTGTCTTCTGCTGAAACAGAAACAGAAAAACCCACAAAGGTCACACAGACAACACAAACGGCTACAAGAGCCGCAGAGATCGCTTACCGTGTAGTGCTTTTGAGCTGCTAGCCTCCGCATTATCTTTTGTGTGACCAGGCCCCCTGTTGGTGCAAGGAAGTAGTTGTGATATTTGTATCCCATTTACAGTATTTTAAATCCATACAAACCCTCCTGCTGCCCTTGGGACAAAATGACCCACAAGGCCTTAAGGCAATATACTGGGATGTCAAAAAAATCAGTACAAAGATTCTCCCAGATAGATTGTAACATTTAGAAGTGTATTTTGAACTTCAAGCCATGAAAAAAATAAAAAAATCTTTTAAAATTATGTACATATAAATATGGAATCAAAATGGAAAAGCTTTGAAGGGCGTCAGTACAGCTACTGCTTAAAACTCCAACGTCCATCAACTTTTTCTATAAAGCCCAATATTTATTTATGACTTACATCTGGAATGATCTAAATTGTAAATGCAGATGTTTTGATACATAAACTATTAGAAGAGTAAAAAGAACCAAGATTCAACAGTTGGTGCACCAATGTCCCTCGTTGCTGAGGGATTTCAATAGTGAATGTTTGTGATTTTCCAGATGAATGTTTTTTCTAGACTGGAATTGAACAGGGAATGCAGGTAAACCTTAATGTTTTTGGTGCAAGACATTTAAAAATCTTAGTTTTTTTTCTTGTCCTGAACAGAGTGATGGCTCCTGGCAAGCGGAGGGATTAATTTTATCCACCACCAGGCACAATGGGGGTGGCGGATGGTGGCCTCGGTCACCATAAATTATTTTTCGGCCACCCCACTGACCACCCTAACCAACTGAAGAAACTATATATTCTTATTGACACAGTTTCCTCAAATGACTGGGGTGGCCATTTTACATTTACATAACACATACAGGAAAGAGTTCACAGCGCTTCATTTTTTCCACATTTTGTTATCTTACAGCCTTATTCTAAACTGTTTTAAATTCATCCCTTTCCTAAAAATTCAACACACATTATGGCAATGCAAAAAAAAAAGACTTTGAGATTTTTGTAAATTAATTAAAAATAGAAAACTAAGCAATCACATTCACAGTATTTTCCAGCGTATAAGTCACAGTTCTGCAGATTTAGTGGCTCCGGCTGCAATGAATGAATGAATGAATGAATGAATGAATGAATGGATGAATGGATGAATGGATGGATGGATGGATGAATGGATGAATGGATGGATGGATGGATGGATGGATGGATGGATGGATGGATGGATG